TCCAACCTAAAACAAAAAAAAACTTGAACTACATCATTGTTTTTGCCACTTTTACACTTACCTTTACATATGGAGGGAAGCTTGAAACTTTATGTATAATTTGTATATTCATGTCTTTCCATTAATTGCCTTATGATCATGTTTTTTTTATTGTTGTTCATCTCTTAAACACACCTCTCAGAATTAGAAAAGAAAGAGGTTTGCTAACAACTTCTTAACTTGAAAAGAACAGGGTATGCTCAAAATTTCCGGACTAGAAAAGATAAAGATTAAGGTATATTTACAATTCTAATATTTTTGCTAATATTATGTTCATCGCTGTCGTAGCAAGTTTTAACCTTGCGTTTTATGTATCGCTGGAGGCTTGAAAATATTTTAAACGTTATACTAATTTTGTTTAATTTCATGTCTCCCCTGTTATTAAATTATTATCCCCTTTGTTTATTGCAGTTCATCTCTTAGTCGAGCTTACTCCTACATTGATTTAATTACAAAAGTTCTCCTCTCCTTCCTTAGAAGTTAAAAAATGCCACCTCAAACCCCTATGCACCATCCATGTACGGTTATGTAAAGTTTAACATAGTTTCTAAAGTATATTATCATCATAGTTAGGAGTTGAGATATGAAGATGTAAGTTACCCAGCCCAATACGGGCGGATCCACATTGGGTCTAGGGGGTTCACCCGGACCCTCTCAGCAAAAAAATACAAGATATATATAAGTTAAATTTTCGTTATATACATATGTATGACAAGATAAGCAAAAAACTTAGTGGTAGGTCTCCATCATATTAAGCTCCACCTTGAGGGATCAATGTCAGGACCGAAATCTAGACCCCAGACGAGACCAGCATCATTGACCTCTCAGAGTTGCAATTTTAGCAGAAAATTTTGAAACTTTTTATTGTTTAATCATACTTGCTAAACATTCCTAATATTTCGTAATCGTTCATCATCAACCATCTAACATTTAAGAGATAAGCAATTGAAAGAAATAATTCATTAAGTATTAATTGTATATCAGCCAAAGTAGCACGAATAAAAAGTCTGAAACAAAACAAGTAAGAAACGCTAGTGGAACGTGCTCCACTAGTTCAACTTTAAAACTACGCTAGAATGTAAAACAGTAGCATCCTCGAAAGCATGCAGACCTGCAAAACTCTGGATGAATGCTTACGTATGAATAGCTGCAACAACGAACATGTAGCTCTACCGCCCACCTGTGCCTGCACCTAAAAGTAGATGTTTGTATGGAATTAGTACACACTTGTACAAAGTATGGGTATATGCAAGCACACACCAGGGACATGCAAGAGAAAAAATTGCTCTTTCCTAACAACATGATTTTTTAAATCAAGTCAGTGGACTTGCCAATTTGAGATTGGAAAAGTTATGCCATGAGAGTGACAGTCATCATTATAATTATTATACTACACAAAACACATAACGTATTCATATAGCACATAACATATAATACATATTTTTTTTCATATTATTCATTCATATGCCCCGAGACCTCGGTATCATGGACTTGACCTTAAGACTTTTCAAAATTAGAGCTCAACATATGGGACCTCAACTAAGGAGCCTTCTTTAGCAAATACAAAGTCTGCTTCATTCATTCATACGTATCTGATTTTAGTTCATTCATAGGCCAGTGTCAACAACAGTTATACCAAGGATGTAGTTTAAGACTTTCATCGGGTTTGCTGTGCAATGATCAGGAATAATTTAATGTCATTACCTTGATCTAGCTTACCTCTTGATTATCCTATCCAAACAGCTTCGGTATCATTCATATCTTCATATGATTCATTTGAGGTTGGTCTCATTCGTTCATTGGGAACTTTAAATTTAATCGACATAGATCATGTAAGCATCATGAAATCCAGTGTCTCCCCCACACCGAAAAGAGGGGGAATCACCGGCCAAATTGACTCAATAACGTGCTAGCGTATATGGGTATTTAACCCCGCCAGATCCCTATAGTGGCAATATTTGTTTAAAGATTAGGAGATGTATAGAGATCCATACCCAGCAAGCCGGACAGTCACTTCTCATGAGAGTTACGTGAACCTCAGTCCTTCACGAAAAAAGGCATCACTGCTCATAGCTAACCCAACAGTGCTCAGTATAAGGTTCCATCACAGTAAACTCATACATCATGGAAGTTGGCTTCTAGTATGAGGACATCATAGCTCAATAGATGATTTCTCATCTCATCATTTGTATTGAGTGTTTTAAACTCAATATTTTCATTAGGGTGTTCATAGAGACTGATCTCTTCATTATCTTGCACTCTCAATTGTGAGTACGTATTGACAACATTTACTTAGGCTCATTTGAGATTTCTCTCATCATATACATTAGCCTCACATCATGATTGTCACAACATTCCTCATTCTTAGCACCTTTGTTTTTCATAGTTACTCACCTATTATTACGTGAATGTTCATTTCTTCATTTCATTGTTCATCTCATCATATGCTAATGCACTTGGACATTTAGCGTATCCTACATTCGTACTTAACCCTCCTAAGATTCATCATTTCACTACGTCCATCTTAGGTTCACTTTGTTTTTGAAGGTATGTTAGACTTATGTGTCTATACATACAAGACATGGGGCTTCATTTATAGTTCGTTAAGTTCTTACTTTCCTGAGATTATGCATTACAAGACTTATGTAACATGTATATATGCCAAGATCTTGATTTTTTGATCTAAGTGGATGACATTATTCTTGAATATTTTTCTCACGTATGACTTATGTATCAATACCGAGTTTCAGGCATGGGAACCCAAATCTTAAATCACTTGGATATCATTTATATTTTTCATTGGTTTTATTTCTAATATTCATAACATTAGAACTCTAAATTATATCTCAACATTTTCATGCAATAATTACTTTTCTATTTTAATTAGAATTCTAAATTATATCTCAATATTTACATGAAGTAATAATTTTTTTATTTTTAATTAGAATTCTAAATTGAATCTCAATATTTACATGAAAGAAATAATCTTTTATTTTATTTAGAATTCTAAATTAAATCTCCATATTTAAATTAAAGAATTAATTTCTATTTTAATTAGAATTCTAAATTAAATCTCTACAATTTCATGAAATAGTTAATTTTCTATTTTAATTAGAATTATAATTTAAATCTCCATATTTACATGAAGGGAAAAATTTTCTATCTTAATTTTACAATTAATTAACCGAAGGGTTGAGTGTTCGACCCCCACAACCCCTTTGATTTTTAGGATTTAAATTTGTTACCATAGGGAGGTTGTGGGTTCGAACCCCCACACCCCCCTTATTTTTTCTTTCTTTTTCGCTGAGGAGGAGGCTGTGAGGTGGTGGGTTCAAACCCCCACATCCCCTCCATCTTTATTTTTATTTAATAAGGGTGAGTGGCAGTGAGGTTGTGGGATCGATTCCCACAGCCTCACTTTATATCCTTGATATTTCGGACCCCCCCCCTTCAGCGCTGAGATCGTGGGTTCGATCCCCACGCCTGGCAAATTTTTTATTTTTTTCCTTCTTCGTCGCGCGTACTGGGAGGTCGTGGGTTCGAATCCCACACCTCCTCTTTAATTTTTCTTTTCTCTTCGCGAGGTTGGAGCTCGTCGCGAGTTCGGACCCCCCCCCCCTTATTTTTCTCTTATTTCCTTTGCGAAACCAGGGGCTCGTTGCGAGTTCGATCTGCCCCCAGCCCCATTCTTTTTTTCCTTTTTTTTTTGCGCAAGACAAGGGCGATGGTTCGATTCCCCCAGCCCTGTTTATTATTTTTTATTGAGTCATGCTGCAGGGAGGTCCTGGGATCGATCCCTGCAGGACTCAAAATTTTTATTTTCTTTGACGTCCAAAAATTTCCAGATTCTTTTAAAGCCTATTTCTAAGTTCTGGAAATTTATTCCAAATTAACCATTAGATCTTAGGGAGATTTCATGGTTCATTCAATTCACTATACTTCATCATAATGAACATCACATTTTACACCCATTACACACATAAAATACACACTTAATACACAACTTATACAACCCAAAACAGTGCCTAAAACACAGACCTATACACGCCCATACATCAACTTTTTCAGTCATATTTTGATGATTATTATCGTGATTTCCCGCACATAAACACATTCATATTTAATTTAAACACATCATTCATGAAAAAATCTAGCCGCACAACAGACCCATCCTACAAATTCATTAGGGAGCTAAGGACAAGGAAATTCAAAGGGAAACAACCTTCGTTTCAAGAGTTTAAAAAACGTACGAAAGAAAGTACTCTTGGAGAAAGAATTTCATGAGAGAAACCCATACCTTTATTGATGTCCAAACAAAGAATTCGCTACCCAAAACTCTCTCCGAAAAATCAGTCCAAGTTACTTCAACGTCCACACCACTCAACGAAAAACTTCTCTTTGCCTTAATGTTTTTGGTGGCTTTGTTTTTCTTAAATTTTCATGTGAGTTTTTTTCAACTGTGAAGAAATGTTGGTGTATTCTCTTGTTTTTGTTGTGCTTGGCAGAATAACGCGAGAAAAAAGGAGAACATGAGAGAGAGAGAGAGAGAGTTATTAAGCGTGAGAGAGAGACAACTAATAGGATTAGGAGACTAAATTCAAGACTTAGTCAAATAGAATTTAAATTAGACTAATACAAATATGATTTATTTTAATTTTTACGTAAAAGGACCATTATGCCCTTAAAATATCAGATTTTTAACTAATAATTAAATCACCTTAAGTAGCTATTATATAATTTAATTTTTTTCTGGATCGTTACATTATCCCCCCCTTAGGAACATTCGTCCCCGAATTACACTACCATTACACTCGTAATGCCAATCCGATCATAACTTAATCCTATGTACACTTAACCAATAGTAAAAACATAAGAAGAGATAAGGAACCATAGACTTACGAATAGAAAGTCTAACCTCATACTATTGCATACACACAACACACGGTAAAATACATGAATGACTAATTACCCGTGACTTCACCAAAAGTGCCTTCCTCTGCACCCCTAGACTTGAGTGCGAAGAATCGTTGCCTCCTTGGAGCCTTTTCACTTGGAACGTTAGACTGAACTCTCTCATTCACTTGTTCTTGACTTCTCCTAATTGGACAATCCTTCATCATGTGACCCAGTTTGCCACAACTATCACAAGCATCAGTGCCCCTCATACACTCTCCACCATGTAGTTTGCCATACTTCCTGCAGGGTGGTCTCTCCTGAGATGTATCTACTTCATTGTTTCTCTTAACTCTGGACTCAGAATTTCTATCATGGCGACACTTGGATGAACTTGACTCCCCTTGTTGGGAGAGTCCCTTCTTAAAACTGGGGTTATCCCTGATTTCAGTACTACTCTTCCTTGAAAAATTAATATCAGCTTGTCTTGACTTGTTCCATACAATAGTTTGTTTCGTCTTTCTTCTTTCCTCCACTTGCTGGACATGGACCATAAGTCTGGAAAGGTCCATGTTGTCATGCAGCATAGCTTCCCTACACACATCATCAAGATCTTCAGCAATTCATGTCAAGAATCTACTTATCTCATCTCTGCTGTTAGACACAAGAGAAGTGGCATACCTTGATAGTTTCACAAAATTCAAGGAATACTCCCTGACTGTCATAGATCCTTGTTTAAGGTTGATGAACTCCTCAACCATGACCTCCATCATCTCTCTGGGGAAGAATCTCTCCGAAAATGTTGTCTTGAACAGCTCCCATGTGACTGACACTCCACCTAGGACACGACTATCTTGTCACATCTTGCACCAAGTCTTTGCAACATCCTTAAGCTGGTAGGAAGTCAGCTCAGCCTTCTCAATATCAGTGGCCATCATGGCCACCAGGGTCTTATGCACTCGTCTATAAACTCCTGAGGATCCCATGAAGTCTTAGCCCTTGTGAACATAGGAGGATTCATTCTCATGAAATCTCGCACCATTTCAGCCATGTTGCGAACAGGTAGGTTCTCCCTCTGAACATCCTCTCGATTGACTTGGGCAGTCATAGTCTGAGCCTGCATCGTGATGGTCTGTGCTATCTGGGCTAGAGATGCCCTCACCTCATCATCAGTCAATCTAGCTGGGTTAACTGGTATGACCACTCCTTCAGGTGGAGCCTGGGGTGGATTTTGATTACCCCTAGCTGTTGCTGCTCCCGTCCTCAGACCCTTAGTTCTCTAAGTGTTCATTCTCTGAAAACAACAAGGATTGATGTTATACACGTTCATAACACCAAAAATTCAAACATTAGGAAAAGCACGATAAGATAAGAAGAAGGGAAATTTTTCCTACGCATCATGCAATCTCCAATCTTGGATAGTGGTGCACTTAACTACCATGACTTAGAAACTACTTAATGTGGTTGATGTGAATCATTATTCTTGGAATTTAACCTAGTGCTCTGATACCAACTTTTTCTCGATCAAAATCGAGACCCAGACGAGGCCGGCGTCGTTGAATTCTTAGAGGTCGCAAACAAGCCTACTTACGTCATTCTTTATTTACATAGGTTAATTTTAGCGGAAAATTTTAAATTTTTTATTCTTTAATTATACTTGCTAAACATTCTTACTATTTCATAATCGTTCATCATCAACCATCTAACATTTAAGAGATAAGAAACTGAAAGAAATAATCCATTAATTATTAATTGTATATCGGCAAAAGTAGTACCAATACAAACTCTAAACCAAAACAGGAAAGAAACGCTAGTGGAACATGCTTCACTAGCTAAACTCTAAAACTATGCTAGAATGTAAAACAGTAGCATCCTCGAAAGCATGAGGACCTACCAAACTCCGAATGAATGTTGACATTCGAATAGCTGCAACAACAAACCTTTTGCTCTACCGCCCACCTGTGCCTGCACCTAAAAGTAGATGTTTGTATGGAATTAGTACCCACTTGTACTAAGCATTGGTATATGCAAGCACACACAAGGGACATGCATGAGAAAGAATTGCTCTTTCCTAACAACATGATTCTTTGAAGTCAAGTCAGTGGACTTGCCTATTTGAGATTGGAAAAGTTATGCCATGACAGTGACATGCATCATTACAATTATCGTACTACACACAACACATAACATCTTCATATAGCACATAACATATAATACATAGTTTTTTTTTTCATATTATTCATTCATATTCCATGAGACCTTCTTATCATGGACTTGACCTTATGACTTTCCAAAATGAGGGCTCAATATATGGGACATCAACTAGGGAGCCTTCTTTAGCAAATACAGAGTCTGCTTCATTCATTCATACGTACCTCATTTCAGTTCATGCATAGGCCAGTGTGAACACTAGTTATACCTAGATATAGTTTAAGACTTTCATCGGGTTTAATGTGCAATGATGAGGAATAACTTAATGTCATTACCTTGATCTAGCTCACCTCTTTATTATCCTATCCTAACACCTTCGGTATCATTAATTTCTTTATATGATTTATTTGAGGTTGGCCTCATTCACTCATTGGAAACTTTAACTTTAACCGACATAGATCATGTGAGCATCATGAAATCCAGCGTCTCCCCTACATCGAAAAGTTGTGGAATCACCGGCCAAAATGACTAAATAACATGCTAGCGTATATGGGAATTTAACCCGGACAGTCTCATCTCCTGAGAGTTAAGTGAACCTCCGCCTTTCCCAAAAGAAGGCATCACCGCTCATAGCTAGCCCATCGGTGCTCAGTATAAAGTTCCATTACATTCAACTCATACATAGTGGAAGCTGGCTTCTAATATGAGAACATCATAGCTCCATAAATGATTTCTAATCTCGCCTTATTATAAAGTGTATTAAACTCATTTTTTTCATTAGAGTGTTCATAGAGACTAATCTCTTCATTATCTTACACTCTCATTGGTGAGTACGTATTTGTAACATTTACTTAGGCTTATTTGAGATTGCACTCATCCTATACATTAGCCTCACATCACGATTGTCACCACATTCCTCATTATTAGCACCTTTGTTTTTCATAATTACTCGCCTCTTCTTACGTAAATGCTCATTTCTTCAATTCATAGTTCATCTCATCATATGCCAATGCACATGGCCATTTAGCTTACATTCGCACTTAACCCTCCTAAGATTCCTCATTTCACTACGTACATCTTAGGTTCACTTAATTTTTGAATGTATATTAGACTTATGTGTCTATACATACAAGTCATGGGGCTTCATTTATAGTTCGTTAAGTTCTTACTCTCCTAAGATTATGCATTACAAGACTTATGTATCTTTTATATATGCCAAGATCATGATTTTTTTTATCTAAGGAGATGGTATTATTCTTTAATATTTTACTCATGTATGACTTATGTATTAATACGCAGTTTTGGGCATGGGAACCCAAATCTTGAATCACTTGGATATCATTTATATTTTTCATTGATTTAATTTCTAATATTCATTACATTAGAACTCTAAATTATATCTCAACAATTTTATGAAATAATTAATTTTCTATTTTAATTAGAATTCTAAATTAAATCTCAATATTTACATGAAGGAATAAATTTTCTAGTTTTAATTAGAATTCTATATTAAATCTCAATATTTGCATGAAAGAATTAATCTTTTATTTTAATAAGAATTCTAAATTAAATCTCCATATTTAAATGAAAGAATTAATTTTGTATTTTAATTAGAATTCTAAATTAAATCTCAACATTATCATGAAATAATTAATTTACTATTTTAATTAGAAATCTAATTTAAATCTCCATATTTACATGAAGGGATAAATTTTCTATCTTAATTTTACAATTAATTAAACAAAGAGTTGACTGTTTGAGCCCCCGCAACCCCTTTGATTTTTAGGATTTAAATTCGTTACTAAAGGGAGGTTGTGCGTTCGAACCCCCACTGCCCCCCTTATTTTTTTCATTCTTTTTCGCTGAGGAGGAGGCTGTGAGGTGGTGGGTTCGAACCCCCACAGCGCCTCCATCGTTATTTTTATTTTATAAGGGCGAGTGGCAATGAGGTTGTGGGGTCTAATCCCCACAGCCTCACTTTATTTCCTTGATATTTCGGACCCCCCCCCTTAGTGCTGTGGTCGTGGGTTCAATCCCCATGCCTCGCAAATTTTTTTCCTCTTCCTCGCGTGTACTGGGAGTTCGTGGCTAGCTGGTCAAGAGTTCGAACCCCAGTCCCCCTTTATTTTTCTCTAATTTCCTTTGCGAAACAAGGGGCTGGTCGCGAGTCTGATCCCCCACCCCCCATTCCCATTTTCTTATTCCTTTTTTTTCTTGCGCAAGACTGGGGCGAGGGTTCGATTCCCCCAGCCCCATTTTTTTTATAATTAAGGCATGCTGTAGGGAGGTCTTGGATTCTATCCCTGCAGGCCTCAAAACATTTTTAATTTCTTTGACGTCCAAATATCTTCAGATTCTTTTAAAGACTATTTCTATTTTTTGGAAATTTATTCCACGATCTTTCTGCACTTTTTATTAAATTTCACATTAGTTCTTATGGAGATTTCATGGTTCATTCAATTTACTATATTTCATCATAATGAACATCACATTGTACACGCATAAAATACACGATAAATACACAACTTATACAACCCAAAACAGTGCCTAAAACACTGCCCTATACATGCATATACATCAACTTTTCCGGTCAGATTTTGATGATCATTATCATGATTTCCCGCACATAAACCCATTCATATTTAATTTAAACACATCATTCATGCAAAAATCTAGCAGCACAACATACCCATCCTACAAATTCGTTAGGGAGCTATGGACAAGGACATATGAAGGGGAACAACCTTAGTTTCAAGAGTTTAAGAAACGTCCGAAAGAAAGTAATCTTGGAGAAAGAATTCCATGAGAGAAACCCATACCTTTATTGATGTTCAAACGAAGAATTCGCTACACAAAACACTCTCCAAAAAATCAGTCCAAGTTACTTCAACGTCCACACCAATCAACAAACAACTTCTCTTCGCCTTAATGTTTTTGGTTGCTTAGTTTTTCTTAAAATTTCATGTGAGTTTTTTTCAAGCGTGAAGAACTGTTGGTGTATTCTCTTGTTTTTGTTGGGCTTGGCATATTAACGTGAGAAAGATGGAGAACGTGAGAGAGAGAGAGAGAGAGTTATTAAGCATGAGAGAGAGAGAACTAATAGGATTAGGAGACTAAATTCAAGACTTAGTCAAATAGAATTTAAATTAGATTAATACAAATCTGATTTATTTTAATTATAACGTAAAAGGACCATTATGCCCTTAAAATATCAGATTTTTAACTAATAATTAAATAACAAATCCCTTTGATACCAAATAATTTTTAGTTTCAGTTTTTTTCTTGTATTATTTAAGTTTCAGTTCCATTTTTCACGGTTTTTTTAGTTTTCTATTTTATAAAACGTGCTAAAAGTGTGGTTTTAAACTCATTAAAATTCAAAGGCCCTCTACTAAAACTATATACTACTACCTTGAATCATATGCTAAATTTCAATTACCACTATATCTAATGATCGTTGTTGCGCCATTCACTATCATTAGCTGATTAGACTTTATCTCCCCCTCCGTCTATTTTCCACATGAAAATTCACACCGCTATCTAGCAGCTGGATGTTTAAATGGTGGGTAGCCTTTTAGAGCAGTATCCATGGTTATAATACATAACAGAAATTTATAGCGAAAGGTTTTCATATGAAAGAGATGCAGACATCTTTGATCTTATCAAGTAAAACATTAAACCAACATGACATATCGGTCTTGACAAATGTATAAATTCAGGTTCAACTACTAAAAAATCTAACATGTGTTAGACATGGAAAATGTTAATAAAATTAAAAAATAAT